TTGTGTACACGTAACGATGATGCGCGTGGACGGGAACGTTAAACATTTTGGCCTACTTGTGTACACGTTAAACCTATGATGCGCGAGGACGGGAACGTTAACATTTGGCCAGAACCTTGTATACACGTGAACGGGATGCCCGCTGACGGGAACGTTTACACCTTTGGCCAGAAACTTGTGTACACGTGAACGATGAAAAGCCGAGTGGACGGGAAAGTTAACATTTGGCCAGACTTGTGTACACGTGAACGATGATGCGCGTGGACGGGAACGTTAACATTTGGCCAGACTTGTATACACGTGAACGGTGATGCGCGTGGACGGGAACGTTAACAGTTGGCCAGACTTGTATACACGTGAACGATGATGCGCGTGGACGAAAACGTTAACATTTGGCCAGACTTGTATACACGTGAACGATGATGCGCGTGGACGGGAACGTTAACATTTGGCCAGACTTGTATACACGTGAACGATGATGCGCGTGGACGGGAACGTTAACATTTGGCCAGACTTGTGTACACGTGAACGATGGTGCGCGATGATGCACGTGGATGATGTGAAACACCGGAACAGAAATCGCGTGACAGTTCTACGGCGGCGAAACACGTCACTGGCAACAACAACAACAGCCACCACCACCAGCACCACCACCACAACGATGTTGACGACGACGACGACACCGACACCGACACCGACACCGACACCGACACCGAAGCCGACAAACCGACACCGACACCGACACCGACAACAACAACGTCAACGACAACGACAACCGCAACAACAACAACAACCACAACAGCAACAGGAACAACAGCAACAACAACACCAACAACAACAACCACAACAACCGCACCAACCACAACAAACCACACCAAACCACAACAACAACAACATCACCACCAACACCACCAACACCACCAACACCACCAACACCACCAACACCACCAACACCACCAACGCCACGAACACCACGAACACCACGAACACCACCAACACCACCAACTCCACCAACACCACCAACACCACCAACACCACCAACACCACCAACACCAACACCAACATCAACACCAACACCATCACCATCACCAACACCAACACCAACACCAACACCAACACCAACACCAACACCAACACCAACACCAACACCAACACCAACACCACCACCACCAACACCACGAACACCAACACCAACACCAACACCAACACCAACATTAACACCAACACAGCCACCACCACCACCACACCCACCAACAACAACAACAACAAACACAAAAACAAAAGAAACACAAAATCAAAAACAACAACAAAAGCAAAAACAATTGCAAATGCAAATGCAAATGCAAATGCAAATGCAAATGCAAAAGGCAAAGGCAAAGGCAAAGGCAACTGCAAATGCAAATGCAAATGCAGATGCAAATAATGCAAATGCAGTTGCAATTGCAAATGAAAATGCAAATGCAAATGCGAATGCAAATGCAAACACAGCAACAGCAACAGCAACGGCAACAGCAGCAGCAGCAACAACAACAGCAACAGCAACAGCAACAACAGCAACAGCAACAGCAACAACAACACCAACAACACCAACAGCAACACCAAAACCAACACCAACACCAACACCACCAACAACAACAGCAGCGGCAGCAGTAAGAACAACCAGCAACCAGCAACCAGCGCACAACACGCAACACGCAACACGCAACACGCAACACGCAACACGCAACACGCAACACGCAACGTGCAACACGCAACACGCAACACACAACACGCAACACGCAAACAACAAGAGCAAGAACAAGAACAAGAACAGGAACAAGAAAAGAAAAAGAACAAGAACAAGAAGAAGAAGAACAACAACAACAGCAACAGCAACAGCAAAAGCAAAAGCAAAAGCAAAAACAAGCAACAGCATAAGCAAAAGCAGCAGCAGCAACAACCACAACCACAACCAACAACCAACAACCAACAACCACCAACCAACAACCAACAACCAACAACCAACAACCAACAACAAACAACCAACAACCAACAACCAACAACCAACAACCAACAACCAACAACCAACAACCGACAACCAACAACCAACCAACAACCAACAACCAACAACGAAAGACCAACAACCAACAACCAACAACCAACAACCAAAAAAAAGAAACAAGAAACATGAAACAAGAAACAAGAAACAACAATCAACAAACAACAAACAACAAACAGCAAACAACAAACCACAAACCACAAACCACAAACCACAAACCACAAACCACAAACCACAAACCACAAACCACAAAACCACAAACCACACGCCACAAACCACAAACCACAAACCACAAACCACAAACCACAAACCACAAACCACAAACCACAAACCACAAACCACAAACCGCAAGCCACAAGCCACAAACCACAACCCACAACCCACAACCCACAACCCACAACCCACAACCCACAACCCACAACCCGCAACCCGCAACCCGCAACCCACAACCCACAACCCACAACCGACAACCCACAACCCACAACCCACAACCCACAACCCACAACCCACAACCCACAACCCACCCACAACCCACAACCCACAACCCACAACCCACAACCTACAACCCGCAACCCACAACCCACAACCCACAACCCACAAACCCACAAACCCACAACCCACAGCCCACGACCCACGACCACGACCACGACCACGACCACGACCACGACCACAACCACAACCACAACCACAACCAGAACCACATTCACAATCACAATCACAATCACAATCACAATCGCAATCACAATCACAATCACAACAACAGCAACAGCCGCAAGAACCAGCAACCAGCAATCAGCAACCAGCAACCAGCAACCAGCAACCAGCAACCAACACGCAACGCGCAACACGTAACACGCAACACGCAACAACAACAACGACAACAACAACAACCAGCAACCAGCAACCAGCAACCAGCAACCAGCAACCAGCAACCAGCAACCAGCAACCAGCAACCAGCAACCAGCAGCCAGCATCCAGCAACCAGCGACCAACATGCAACACGCAACACGCAACAACAACAACAACAACAACAACAGCGACAGCAACAACAATAACAACACCACCGCCACCACCACCAGCACCACCACCACCACCAGCACCGCCACCACCACCACCACCACCACCAACCACCACCCACCACCACCACCACCACCGCGCCCACCCCCACCACCACCAACACCCCTAACAACAACAACAACAACAACAACAAGAACAGCAACAACAACAACAACAACAACAGCAACAGCAACAACAACAAGAAAACAACAACGACAACAACAACGACAACGACAACGACAACGACGACAACAACAACACCAACAAAAACAACCACCCCTGTTCAAGTTCCCCTAGACAACAGCCACACCTAGTTCGAGCTAAAGCGAAAGCGAAGCAGCAGTTTGTTTTGACACTCGCGGTTGCTGAAGTGAAGCAAAGGGGGGTCCAACAACCACCACAACCACAAGAGCAACCACACCCACAAGCACAACCGCAATAATAGCAAGAGAAACAAGAAGAACACGAACAAGCGCAAGAGCAGGAACATGAACAAAAAGAGCAAGAAGAAGAACATCAATACGAGCAACAACAACACCAGCAACAGCAGCAACAGCAACAGCAACAACAACAACAACTACAACGACAACTACAACTACAACTACAATTACAACTGCTGCTATTACAACACGACACCAGCACCAACACCAACACCACCACCAACAACAACAAAGCAACAACAACCGCAGCAACAACACCACCAACAACACCACCACCACCCAAACCAACAACAACAACAACAACAACAACAACAACAACAACAACAACAAGCAACAAGCAACAAGCAACAAGCAACAAGCAACAAGCAACAAGCAACAAGCAACAACAACAACAACAACAACAACAACAACAACAACAACAACAACAACAACAAGCAACAACAACAACAACAACAAGCAACAACAAGCAACAACAAGCAACAACAACAACAACAACAACAACAACAACAACAACAACAACAACAACAACAACAACAACAACAACAACAACAACAACAACAACAACAACAACACCAGCAACAGCAACAGCAACAGCAACAGCAACAGCAACAGCAACAACAACAACAACAACAACAACAACAACAACAACAACAACAACAACAACAACAACAACAACAACAAGAACAAGAACAAGAACAAGAAAGAACAAGAACAAGAACAAGAACAAGAACAAGAACAAGAACAAGAACAAGAACAAGAACAAGAACAAGAACAACAACAACAACAACAACAGCAACAGCAAGAGCAACAACAAAATACCGAACCGGCAACGGGAACAGCAACGGCAACGGCAACGGCGACAGCAACGGCAAGGGCAACGGCAACGGTAACGGCAACGGTAGCGGCAACTTTATCCATCATTGCCTTGTTCATCATGATCCGTGAGCATCTGTCATCACCATGCTCACTATGAACGCCTTCATCATCAATTTAGGATTCGGATGTGGCGCTAGGCAGTTGAACAAGGCTGGGGCACTTGAAATGAGGATGAGCATGAGTATGATGATGATGATGATGATGATGATGATGATAACCATGATCGCTGACGATGATAACTATGATCATGATGATCATGATGATGATGATGATGATGATGATGATGAGGATGATGATGATGATGACAAGAGTGTGCTCCTAGTTTTATATGTTCGCTTCTGGCTTTTATATTTAGGATTCGGATGTAACGACAACTGTCAACGACAAGGACAACGACTCCGACATCAACATCAACATCAACATCAAGAGAAACAGCAGCTGGCAGCTGCGGTTTCCTGGTTTTCAAGATTCAAAAATATCCTTTTTTGAGAGTACCCTTTGGGGGTTTTCGTTTAATTGGAAGTCACAGCCAAATAACAAACATTTGGGGTACCCCTATCTTGAGACAAACCCCTATCCCGATTTGCCAGGCTACACTCGCTCAAGCTACAGCAGCTATGCGGCGCCGGGGCCCCCGGGGCCGCCTGGCCCCCCGGGCCCCCCTGGCGATGGCAGCCAGGCGGGGAGAGAGGAAGTTTTTATTTGCGAAGCTGCCATTCTGCATGCAAGGTCTTTCTTCACTGAAGCAGCACATAACCACGTAGCCGCTGAGCGGCCCATTTGGGCCATGGTCAAAACACAAAGGGCCACTTGTTGTCAGTGGTGATAGTCAGCACGAGAACTCTGATGATTACCAAGGTTTTTCTGTTTCATCTAGAATCACGAATCAACAGCAAGCAGCTTGAAATGTGTTGGGCCCGCGTCTCCCACAATGGTGACTTCTTTTTGAGTGTGTTCTGCGACCCTCCCCGAATTTGGGATTCCCTCCTTCCTCTTTTAAGTTCATTCTCGGATCTTCCCTCAATTTGGCTGTGAATGTTTGAAAGGACACCACCTCAACAATGGTGGGTGGAAAATCTTCATGTTTACACCACCTCCTTCCAACCATATCTCCCATGCTTTCAGCTAATCAGGGGAACCATCACGTGACACGAGGCAAGAAACCCACTTGGATCCGTGTGTTTTTAAGGAACCCCCCAACGTGGCTTCGGTTTTCCCTTTGACTTCCCTTTACAAACGACACAATTTGGGCACCCTCAACAAAGACGCACCTACGCACCTACGGAACGGTGCTCAAACTCTTCCGCTCGAACTCTTGCAGAAAAAGGGGAGCTTCAAAGCAACGAGGAGGTTTTTTTCGGGGCTCCATCAAAGTGGCCCATCTTCCCTTGGGTTTCCCCTTCAAAGGACCACTTTCGTGCGTGCCGCTTTGAAGAAACGTGTAGGCGCCTGCCCCGGGCCCTCCTGGGCCACCGGGCGCTATGTCCTCGCCCTCGCCACCCACGCCGGTCATTGTGACGG